TAACATTCAAAAACCAGTAGGAAAGCACTTCAATCTCCCTGGACACTCAGTAACAGACTTAAAAGTGGCCAGACTTAAGAGTTCAACAAAAAACCCTTCAAAAACAGACTTCAACAAGAAACTGCAAAACTGGAATTAATTTGCAAAGTTGACACCATGACATTAGGCCTGAATAAAGACGGAGTGGCTGGGTCACTACAAAAAGTAACTTTTCCCCCTCTGTTGATACTCACACCTTCTTGTCAACTGTTGTGAATGGTCCACATCCACCCTGATTGAATTGGGCTTGTTAGCATTGACCCCCCACTTGGTAAGGCAACTCCCATCTTTTCATGTGCTGTATATTTATACCTGCCTACTGTATTTGTCACACCAGGCAGCTGATGACGTGGGTTGTAGCCCATGAAAGCTTATGGCCAAATAAATGTTAGTCTCCAAGGTGCCACAAGAACTCCTCATTGTTTTTGAGGACACAGACTAACACCGCTACCCCTCTGATACCTATAGGGAGAGAGAACATAGTATTTACAAGATAGGGAACTGTATTCTCAAAAACAGTGGCTCAGTTAAGGATATAGGAGCCATCGTACATAAATCAAAGATGTGATACTCTGACAGGGTAAACAGACTGCCATAGACAACATGACTAATACCACTTTCTGGACTATAGTGTCTAGGTTTCCAAAAATGATAATTTGGAGCAGGCTTAGAAGAGCAACAAGACTAAATTATTGTCCAGGAAACACAATGCAAGAGGCTACAGCAGCACAATCAGTTTATTGAATACAAAGTTAAGAGGGAGCTTGAGTGCAGTTTTTATGTACCTATACAGGGAGATGATGTTAGATAGGCCTTTAGCACATGAAATCTAATGGCTGAAAAATTAAGTCATGCAAATTCAAACTGAAAACAGCATAAGTAGGCATTTATATATACATATACACACACACACATACACAATTTTATATTATAATTGGCAAGGTATGTGGTAAATTTTAGAGTTTTAAAAATCAAAATGGGATGTCTATTGAATCACAAGTTGGGCAAAAGGCAGGAATTCCTGAATTAAGTGCTATGGTTTGGGATGCAGATCAGAATAGATAACTAATGGTCCTTTCTAGCCTCAGGAGAAGAAGAAAAGCAAAACACCACACACACACACACACACACACACACTTGAGCTGTTCCATAAAGTGTTAAATTGAGCAATGGGCATCTACCTCTGATTAACCATTTACTTATTTAAGGCACTTGACATCTTGGTAATTATTTACTTCAGAGACTGAAGCTTTTAACAAGTTTCTTGCCTCCAGTGCATGTAGATTCTGGTTTATCATGTTACTTATGAATGCTAGAATTATGAAACATTCACATGACTATACAAATCAAGAGGGGTGTAGCTATAACAAGTCTACCAGCTCATAGAGCTATGAGTTATCCTAGTAAACTTCTTGGGTCTGATTATCTAGTTAAATATTTTTTCCTCCTGAACTGTTGTGGCACTACCAGAGAGCTCTAGAGAAGACAAAGGTGTTTGGAGCAGGGAGATCTATGTTCTGTATGCACTGACAAGGTCTGAGCAGAACAAGCTACTTAAAATTCAGTGAGAGGTCAGAGATGACTTTGCCATTCCAAAGTCATTGATTAATAGCCAACTAGCACAACAAACCAGCTATAGGGAATATGTGCTGTGGAAGAAGTTTGTGTCTTGCACTACACCTGTCTTTCCTTAGCAGATCCATAGTGAGCACACATAGTATTTTTGTAAGTGGTTCTTACATTCTCTTCATTTAATGGAAACAGCTGTAATTTGATCTTTTCCACCCAGAAGCTAAGAACAAACAATTCTTAAATCAACATTGAAGTGGGAGAAATTATATAACACCAAACATACATAGAATTCTACACTCCGAATGTGAAAAATGCAGAACTAAATTTGACATGCCAAGCCACCATTGGCATAAGATTTGGTGATTATACCCAACCTACCCTCTGACAGAAGAAGATTTAGCTAGCAACACGTATCTTTTAGAATTTGAGTCAGAGGCAACAAAACTGTCCAACGAAACATCCAGTGTTGGAATCTCAGGGGTCTGTTTGAACCTCCTTTGCCAAAAAAGGGAATTTTTTTCCTTCAGCTGTCCTACACGTGTAGGGTTTCTTGCATAGTCTGTTGAAGTCCCCGAAAGTAAAATGCAACAAAGCGATAGTTATAAGCCTGTATCTGAATCACTACTGCCTAAAATGGCAGTATAGAGAAGTCTGTACAAACAGGCTGTTCAACTGATTTTCTGACACTATGGAGTCAACAAGGTGATTTAACTTAGACACGGCAAGCTGGTTAAGTACCTAGCTGAATCAAATACACTTCAGAAAGCTGCAGAGGAAGATCTAGTGTAGGCAGGGTCTATTTCACGCTGACTTGTATTCTGAACCACTGCAATTTGGCCCATAGCCACACTAGCACAGTTCCGAGCCATTTAAATTGAAATGCCCTCTGCATCTCTCTTCCACGTGTCTCTGCTCAGCTCCCAGAATCTACTGCATCTGAGATGTTTTGAAGTACCCCAGTAATTTGTTCTGTTCCCATACACACTGCCATCAAGACAGTTCAGAGAGAGGTATTTTAACTTGGAGTACATGTGTAGTGACATGACATTTTACAGCCATGCCAGGATTAAGTGGTTTTTAGGATAACAGAAGAAAATTTAAGAGTTAAAGTGGTGTTAGGCTCAGGTCAGGTGTACCCAAATTCAGAGTTAAATGTATTGGATGTATGAGACCGGTAGCCGCAGCAGCAGAGATGCCAAGACATCTGCAGAAGTTGTCCCTTAAAACTAGAGTGCTGGGGATCATTTAACTGTTAGAACTATATGTGCTCTCTGGATAGAGCTCTACAGTCTCCACATCTGTCAAGCTATCGTTACATAAAGCAGCAAGTGGATATGGAGTTATTTTTTACTGTATATTAAATTCTTTGGTTCAGGAACTGGAAAAATCTGAATTCTGAAGAGTTGTTTTGTCATTAGTATTCTCCACTGAGGATTAATGTTTCAACTATCCTAGACCTAGTTTTCCTACAGGAGAGGGGACCTCAGGGAAAGTCACGGCTGGACTCCTGAAAGACACTCCGGACACTCTGACAATCATTCCCACTGTTCTATTCTCTGAAGATAGAGAAATTTAGTTTCCTGAAATCTTGACCTCTGAAAAGAAGCATTGAAGTTGGGGTTACAAAAAACAAGCTTTGAAGTTAGCACAGAATTTAGAACAATATGGTAGGAAGGTAGGAAAGTAAGTCCAGTTGCTTAGGTGTTTACTAGTACAGACAACCCATCCCTACATTAGACTTGTGCTTCAGTACAGTAGTCAGGAAAGAAAACCCACACATCAGTGCAATTCTGTTAACTTTATTGCTTAAAAGCAATAAGTGAGTGTACTTATTTACAATTTAGAGTGCTTTATTTCAAGTGTTCCTTTCATTTAATATTTTATATGGTGTACTCCAACTCTTTACAGTGTTACTTCTTACCCTTTAACTGTGCATAGTAGCTTAGAAAGATTTATACAAAACAAAAAAAGTTACTTATGGACTCATTTTAAAGATTAAGAGACATGCAACCTCAGTATGTTTGTGTTCTTCCCCCAGCACTTGTAATCAGATTTTCCCCTTGCATTTGCAATAGTCAGATTATCTTCTTTTGTAGAGAGACCTCTTTGATCCACACCCTAAAAGAAAAGAGAAAAATTGAGAGATTTAGTTTTTAACATATGCACTTTCCCTTCACTGATGTTTGTTGTAAAGTCTTCCTTTAAAATAGGCAACTAGCAAGTGAGCTATACTATTGCAGGAAGTAAACTAGGAGTTTGAGACATACTGAAGTCCCACCAGCTCTGCAGACCTCGATTCTGCAGCACAGATTCTGGATTGTATAACACTAGTACAGAAGATTAGAAATTGATTATTTTAAAGATGGTTTGTTGAACCAGTTAGTATAAATTTCCTTGCATTATTGGTTTGATATGAAGTTCAATTATTTCGTTCCTTAATTTTGGTGCAGGACTATCAGGAATACATGAATGCATTGCAGAAACTGAAGGCAGCAGGCTGGAAACATGGGCCATTTTTGGCATTAGCAGGGAAATACAGGAGGCAGTTTGGAATGTACAAGCTGACTGAATACTCCTCCTAAAAAGGATCAGGAGTGAAATGTCATCACTGTGCACATCTTAAGTCATAGTTAGGCTTTGGGACCACAATGATTTTGATTAGTCAGGCACTTGCTCCTCTAAGCTACTGTTTCAGACTGCAGACAGATTCAAACACGCCATTGGTTTATACTGTTCATGTTAGGAGGGTTTATTGTGGAAAACCAGTTTCAGGTGGGAGAGAGTTTATTCCCTCATGGTATTCCCTACGCATAAACAGTCTTCTTCCTCCATTTGGTCAAGCAACTATGCTCTCCCTCACCAAGTGTCCCATAGGAGAGCCTCACCTCTTTGAACTAGCTTCTAACAACCATGGACCTCTACTCTTAACTCACAATGTTTTCATAAAGTCACACTAGAACATTAATTAGTATAAGATTAAAGACCTTGGAATTAAGACATGTGCAAACTTAATTGTTCAATCACTTGAGTTTGTTACATCTCTATTTTGTCTTTAACAATAAAAGTCCCTGCTCCAGAGCTTACAGTGCATTAAAAAACAAACTATAGTACCATTAGTGTGATATGAAATGCCAACCATTGTTTTTTAAAATAAAAATTTGGAAGCCTATAGTTTAAGGACGGAAAGATGCTTTGTAGTAGAGAGTGATGGGGTCAAAAAGTTCTTTTATGACCAAGGAGTAAAGGAGTATCTAAAAAGGTACTCATCTTTGGAATGTAGATAATCCAAGAGGGGAAAGAACAAACAAAACAAAAAAAAAAAAAACCACAGCAGTAAATTTACAGTTACTGCTAGAACATATCTAGTGTTCATGGCATATAATAGTATGCTAACCTTTGTGTGCACGGGGTTTAGGCATTTCCCATACTTCAATGTCTTCTGCCTCACATCTTGTGTCTCTACGTTTGTAAGGGGGTTTGCCTATCCTTTTCCTTTTTGGTTTATCCAAAAGCAGATTACCTGAATGACCAAATAAAAGTAACATTACTACTTTTTCAAGCAATTCAGAATATTTAGCTTTCACTTAAGATAGGCTCTCTCTTAAGTTTATAGTATTTAATAACTTTTACTCTCTTTCCTGAAGCAAGGATTCTCTCTCTTCCCCACACACTGTTCTGCCACTCTATACAATTAGTGTGGATCAACAGCTATAACCAACATTTTCTAAAAGCAGTACCTGCATAGGTGCTAACATGAGGTTTAGCTGTAGAATTCACTTGTCAAGAGAGTAATGAACTGCTGCTGAGGGTGCACAGAAGAGTTGTGTCCCTAGCTAGGACAGGGTTCAAGTATCTTAACTATGTAGCAATACATTGTCCTAGTAAAGACTGCATTGATACAAGGCATCATTTCTTGCCACATTAAGATATAGTGCTGTAGCTTTAAAATAAAAGTTTTGTCCACCACAACCAGCCCAACTCTCTCTATATATGCAGACTCCCTCCCCTGCAGGGCAGCCAGATTTATAGATTATCTGAGCCACATCATGGAGTAGCAAAACCACAACCAACATGTATTTCCTTCAAAGCAATAGGTTAAATATCCCACCAAAATGGCAAAGTATTCTGTTGAAAACAGTTTCTTTGAAGATTTAAGGGAAGAGGATCTGAGGTGTGACAAGAAATCAGCTGTACCTTGTTCTTTGCTTTTGGTTGGGGATGATAGGCTACCACATATCAAGCTGGCAAACTTGGGTTTAGCACCACTTCTAATCCAGTACTCATCAGCTGTCAGCCCCATGTTTTCCTTTAGTAACCTTACTAATTAAAACATAGTAAGACATTGGAATAATATCAGTAAGCATCTACTGTAAGCAACATTACCATACTGACTTGTTACAGCTGACCTGCAATACAGAGGCAAAATGTGTAGTCCACTGAGGACAATTTGAAGATTTTTTTTTAAATCTAATATTTATATGGATACCAATCACTGGTAGCTGGGCCCCAGTTTATGTTTTTTTTTAATGTTGTTCATTAGACTCAATATGCATGTTTATCATATTGTACCTTTATGTATTACCAAATTTGATAGATATTGTGAAAGGGCTGCAAAACCTCACATGGAACCAATTACTGCTTGATTATACTAGTATATCATGGCAATTTATGGCAGTGCTTTTAAAGAAAGCAAGAGCAGAATTACTGTAATTAATAGACTGATCACTAGCTAGTTAGTGTCACAGGAACTCAGTTATCTGAAGTTGACCTTGCTTGTCTTTGTTTCTAACTAAAAGAAATATTCTCTCCCAGGCCAAGAGGAGTTTAGCAAAACTTTAAATTGTGCTAGAACTGTTTAGTTGTCTTCAACAAGTTAAACTACGGCTTCCTTTTAATCTATCTGAAGTTTCAATATTTTGGTTCTCCCGCAGAGGTTCCTCTAGTTTTAAGCAAGCTAAGCAACTGCTGAGGGCAGCAGACTTGGTCCAACCACTCCTCTGTCATAACAGAAGGGGTGGCTGGGCCAAACCTGAGTTGCATTATAAACCCATGTGCCAAGTTACAACACCACTCACTCAAATCTGGCCTGGCCATTCTCCACCCCTCAACTGTAGTCATCACAGAGGAATAGTTGGGCCAAGTTTGAGGGGCAGCACACTGACTTGAGTGGCCTCTACTCCCCTTCTATAGATACAGGAAACATGTTTATATCAGCTAGCGTCATCAGTTTATAAGAAAGTTCCCCCACCATAGCTAAGCCCATTTTGTAACATGGGGGTATGGTATAGTAGCCAGTGTTTACACAAATTTAAGAGATTATATTGCCCAGATGCCATTTGACAGTGGCAAACAAGAGTGACTTCCAATAAATTGAACTTGTTAAATAAATGAACAAGTGTATTATCCAAGTCAAAAAGATTAAATGAGGATCAATCCACAGTGTAAGTTGTTTACTAGCTGACATCACTTGAAGCTCAACCTTGGGTAAAAAAAGTTCTATCTTGTCTACTAATATTAAAGACTTCAAATTTAGCCTTAGTCAAAAGTTTGCTGGCTATGCACAAGGCAAAAATAGAACACAAGAGTGGCCACACTAGGTCAGACCAAAGGTCCATCTAACCCAGTATCCTGTATTCGGACAGTAGCCAATGCCAAGGCCCATAGGGAACGAACAGAACAGTCAGTCATCAAATGATCCATCCCTTGTCGCCCATTCCCAGCTTCTGGCAAACAGAGGCTAGGGCAGTGGTGAGCAACCTGCGGCCTGCAGGCTGCACATGGCCCATCAGGGTAATCCGCTGGCAGGCCACCAGACGGTTAGTTTGTTTACATTTTCACGGCCGCCCGCAGCTCCCAGTGGCCACATTTTGCCATTCCTGGCCAATGGGAGCTGTAGGCGGCCATGCAAATTTAAACAGTCTGGCAGCCCACCAGTGGATTATCCTGATGGGTTGTGTGCAGCCTGCAGGTTGCCCACCACTGGGCTTGGGACACCATCCCTGCCCATCCTGGCGAATACCCATTTATGGGCGTATCCTCCATGAACTTATCTAATTCTATTTTGAACCCTCTTATAGTCTTGGCCTTCAGAACAACATCCTCTGGCAAAGAGTTCCACAGACTGACTGTGCATGGTGTGGAGGGAAACAAACAAACAAACAAACAAACAAACAAACAAACAAACAAACAAACAAACAAACAAACAAACAAACAAACAAACAAACAAACAAACAAACAAACAAACAAACAAACAAACAAACAAACAAACAAACAAACAAACAAACAAACAACCTTTTGTTGTAGTAGGTTCACTATAGTTTAACTAAAGACCAGAAGAAGTGCTACAATTCTTTAAGAGTCACTTAGGAAAGCTACTGCATTCTCTCTTTCTTAGTCTTCACAGTTTTAGGGAATACAGCTAGCACTTGGAATTAGAGAGAGTTAACACATGCTGCAAAGTATTCCGAATTATGATCCCACAGCACTTTTATCCCAGTCATATTAACTCACCTCTTGAAGACTTCTGTGAAGTTCTCTTATGGTCAGATCCCTCTTGTTTTGCTGTAAGCCTCTTTTTTCCATAGTACCCATAATCACTGTACACAACCTCATCCTGTTCCTTCTCACTTGACTTATAAGCCAGACCAGTGCGTTCACAGAACCCACTCTTTGTTTTTATTTTCTCCCGAGCAGGCCAGCTAATCAAGTGAGCTGGTATGGCATTTTTAGGTGGTTTCCAAAGCACCCTCTGGCCAATCGGTCTGTAGAAACTGCCTTTACCAGAGGTGAAGTGTCCATATGGAGTGGCTTCTTGAAAGAAATATTCAACTTCATCATCTTCATCCTCGTTGTCACCCTCTTCCTCTGCCACAAAGTATTCTTCAGAGTCTTCAGCTTCTGACAGAGACAAACTCTTAGCAGCTTTTTTCTTTAGGGAGTAGATTTTCTTCTGACCAGAAGTTCTAGGGAGGACCCCAATCTTTCTACCTCTGCTGGCCATCTTTTTAATCTTCACTTTTGAACAGCTTTTGAAGTTCTGACTATTGACAACATTGGTCTGCTCCCTTCCTACCACTTCATCTTCATTAAGGGAGCCACCACTTCTAATTTTCTCTTTCTCTGAGCCCTCTGTACTTTTTTGGAAAGCGAACATGCTCTTCTGAAGCACATAATCAGGGACAAAATAAGACACTGGTACATCATCAGTCGATGATCCTTCATCTTTAGAAGACGACATTTCATCAGAAGACAGACTGAGTACACTTTGATGTTTCCTTTGTGGCAAACACATATTATAGTTGTAGTTAGCGTCCATGTCATCCACGCAAGCTAGCCAGCTGTTAGAAGGAACATACTTCTCCACGGATTCTTCACACCATAAGCTTTTATCCGTTATCTGACTTACGTTGGTTGGACTGTGGCTCTGATTTAGCTTTTTCTGCAGTGGACTTGAGTCATGTGTTATTTCCGTACTGGATGGAAATAATCCTGCTTGCTGATCAAGGTTGGACTCCTCTTCAGAAGTTTTTGAAGCAGCAGATCTTTTCAAACTAGATTTTTTAAACAATGTGTCCTGCCTTGCCACTAGCTGATCATTACGAACAGTTCTGGCTATCTCAGCAATTTGCATTGCCCTGGCTTCACCTAGAGGAGATTTTGCCCTTTGGCTTGCATTTCCCGGCTTTTCTGCACCTAGTTTTACTTCATTATTTTGGACCTCTTTTTCCTGTCCATCTTCACCACTCTGCTTCAAAGAAAGAGCAGTTTTTCGTTCATCTGAATAAGAAGCGCATGACACCAATTCCTCCCCTTCATGAGGGCTATATATTACCCCTTCACAAGAGCTAACAGAAAACAAGTCACGTTGCACGATATTCTCTGGGACTGGTTTACCACTTGCCACATCATACAGAGGAATAGTTTCCTTAAAGGACTTCCATAGCTGAATTGCAGGCGAGCCATTTCCATACTCTATTCGGACCTCTTCTTTCTCAAAAGCATAGCTTCCTGAAGGAATGTTTCTATACTGTGAAGAGCTGGAAGACCCCTTATTTTGAAAGTCTCTTTCTGGCACAAGAGAAGATCCAGATGAATCTTGTTTCACTGAAGTAGTTTCAGTTTCTGTACCCATACCAGAAGAAACACAGCCTATATTTCCTGCTTCACAGCCTTTAGTTTCTGTACGGAGATCCTGATGCTTTTTTGGTTTGTTTTCAGGCTGTCTAGGATCAGTCTGTGTTTCTTTAGTCACTGTTCTTTTCCCAGGGCCACTATAATGTCTAAACCTTGTTGCATGATAAAACAGAGGAGAGGGTGGGGGAACATTAAAATAAGGTCTTCTGTTAACTCTTGTGTGCATAGGATGTTGTGGAACAAGATATCCAGGGTACTCATGTAGTGCAACAGAATAAAATGGAAAATATGGATTTCCACTTCTGAAACCTAGAGATATTGAAGAGGGAAAGGAGAGAGATATGCATTTGTCTATATAAACAGCACTATCTTCTGAAAGTCATCAGAATCCATTACGTACATAGGAACTTCCATGCTAGCTCACACCAGTGGGCTATCTAGTTAAATATCCCATCTCCAACATTGTCTAGTACCAAATACTTAAGAGGAGAGTGCAAGAACTCCATAGATTGGCAATTACAGGGTAATATGCCTATAGGTTACATTTCTTCCTAATTCCTGAAGCATGAGATTTAATTTGCCATGCAAACTGCTGGAGCTTTTATCTATTAAGTTATTGTCTATTAGAATGCCTTTTAAAGAACAGCTCTAACTACAGTTAGAAATTCAATTAATATATGCATTGGCAAGCACTTATTGAGCAATAGTATGTACTCTTAAGGTGCGTTATGAGCATTTTAATAAGATCATCTGATGTTCACTAGAAGTTTCTACTTGAAACTATGCAGCCTCATAAAGAGTCCTGTGGCACCTTATAGACTAACAGACATATTGGAGCATAAGCATAAATATTCACCCACAAAAGCTTATGCTCCAATACGTCTGTCTATAAGGTGCCACAGGACTCAGTCGCTTTTTACAGATCCAGACTAACACGGCTACCCCTCTGATACTATGCAGTCTCATATTAGCCAAGACTAATCAGAAAGCCATCAATACCAATAAAAAAAAGCAATTGAAAGCCTATTATGGAGTCAGATTTATACTTGCTAGAATTTATATTGCTAGAAACAAGATTGAAATAGCTTTACTTGCCTTGTGCATTTAGTTAATGCTTCAGGCATAATGTTCTCAACTCTGCCTTTGCCCTGCTATTACAGTACATGGGATATTTAAAAAAATCCCACTCAATTTTTAGAAACCTCCATATAGTGTCCCCCCTCCCCCCATCGTTCATTGCCTTAAGGCAGTGGGAGTTTGGAGGATTTTGCTGTACAATTCAATGAAGCATTTGCAGTTTCTCTTGAACCCGAAGTTGTTCCAGCAGCAACCCCACCACAGTAGTCCCTGCGCCTATTAGGGAGAATGTGCATTATGATGTCATACTTCTGATATGATGTCAAAACAGTAGTTTAGTTTTTAGCTAAAAATCTTTGTAGCCACTGCCAGACAATGCTCAAGTGACATTTTCCTCCACTTAATATCCCTGACAATGCAGGCTTTGGCATGGAACCTTTTAACAGACACCACAGTGAGAGAAGTGTCCCAAACATGAAACTGGTTGGAGACTGGAAGTTGACTGACAGTTTCTATTTCAGCTCTGCCACACTCTTCCTGTAGAACCTCGGGCAAGTCAGTCTGTTCATCAATGCCCATTCTCCACAAACAGTAAATATGAACAGGCACTTACCACACAAGGGTACTCATTCTATATCTGTTAAGGTGTCAAAACCAGCACTATCTTACAGTTCAGCACTGAGTTATGTCAAGGTTTCTGCCTTGACTGAAGTTAGCCAAACTGATTTTACTCAACATTCCTCATAGGCAAAGGATATAGTAGTGATCCCCTTTATACATGTGCTTTCCTATTGTTGCCAGTTGCTGAAACTGCCCACTTCTGTTTCCAAACTCTTCCTAAAAACTTACTCTTCTTGTCCAGTTCAGTTGGTGTTGCCCCACTCATGAAACAGACATCAAACACCAGTTTACAATATAGCTGAACAAATAGACAAGGAGAGCACATTTTAAGAGAGATGTCTTCAGTTTATACACTAATTCTAGGCTTCATGATATTGGGGAAATACAAAAGTTACACAACAGATAAAAGGAGCTTTAATATAAAGTTTGCATTTCCTTCACTCAGGTAGTAATTCAAAAAGCAGGTTTTCCTCAGATGGCGGTGTTTTTGCCTTACCTGGGGCAGGTACACAGTATGGATTATATAGATGACTAAGGTACCATGGATTTGGGAAAGGTTGTTGTGCTGTTGGCTGCGCATAAAAAAAGGGTCTCGTGTGGTTTGTGGAATATGGTCCATTTTCTGAAGCTGGAGCAGTGTTCATTTTTTAAGCTGAAAGACAAAAAGTTATCAGGATTTGCCATTTTAAAACTACCCAGGGAGATGACAGATCATATTTCTAAACAAGTCAGAGTATTGCAGGGATGAACAGACTAAAAAGCATCCAAGTTAAAAAATAAAATATTCTCCCACACCCATGCAACTGACTCCATCTTGAAAATTCTCACTCCCGTTCATTTCTGCCCCCATTAGGAGAGAAGATATGAAGTCCACGGTAATATCTAGAGATAGTAAACCTGATTTTTCTATCAAGCCAAGAAGTTTGGCACTCAGCTGTCATTTGTCTCACTAGGCAGCCACATGACAAAAAGCAAGACAGTCTTTATGCACACCACTTAGGAGCATATAACAAAAAAACAAAAACAAAAAATCCCACCAACTTCATCCATTCTTCTCTAAATTCTGGGGTGTTTTTTTTTAAACCAAAACAAAACCACAACAGAATTTTTCTCTTTTCTAGATGAGCAGAGATAAACCTTTTTATAAACTATATACCACCAAGCCCCTCTGAAACAACCTGCACAAGAAGCACCTTGCTGTCCACAATTAACTTACAAAGCAGTAAAAGAGGGGTTAGAAAGTAAAACAGTTAGCACTAGCTGATATGAAGTGAGGCAGACATTTTGATGAGCTAAAGACTTCATAAAAGTAAATGACAAAAGTTGAACCAACGACCTGTTACGGATTGGTACACAGCTCACTCCTCAGGAGAAAGAAAAGCACTCAGGGCACAGTCCTCTTTCCTTCAGATTCCATCTAGAACACAGTTTCAACACAGATTAACTAGCCACCATGAACCTACATGCTCTTCTTACTGCACCCATTCTTCTAGACCAGACACCCAAAAGGCTAGTTTGACCTTTGAAGAAAGCAAGCCCTACAAAGGTAAGCTATTCCTCCCCCATCAAAGTCCTCCCAAAACTAAGGTCCATGCTGCTGTTTACAGCCCAGCAAGAGACTAGCCACGCCTTCACCTCACCTTGTTTATGGAACAGAACTACCACTTTCCACTCCCTTCTCCACCTGCGGCTCATTTAATAGTGATCCAGGGACCTTTTCCATCAATCAATGGGAGTGGTAGCCAATGGAGGGAGCAGGAAGAGCGGCAAGTGTTCCAACACCCAGGCAGAAGATTCCAGGAAACGGGTACCCCAATCCTGCAAACACGTCCATGCATTTTATTTTCAATCTGTGTAAGAATTGTGACCTAACTCATGTAGATCGCAGGCAGAAACAAAATATGATCAGTCCTGAATTTAAAGTTGCAGTTCAAAACAGAATCTTTTTGTGAAAAAAATCCTCAGAAAGCATTAAAAAAGTTTGTCAAATTTTATTTATTGATTTTATTGGTCACTGTTAATACTAACAAAAGTAGGAGACTAATGATTTTATATGTCAACACAGAGAATTAGACTGCTGAAATTCACATCCCACCTGCTTAAGCAAGGATGTGTGTCTGCTCCAACAAAATATACTCCAGCTCTTGAAATGTATGAAAATTAATGATAGAAAAATGATTGGGATCCCAATCCAGCCATGGGTCTTTAAAAAATGTGGGGATTCTAACTGTCACTTCATTGAGACATCTCAATGAATCACAGAGCACCTATCATTCTTGGCAGGGACAGTGAGAGGAAAAAGAGAAGCATGATGTGAGGATGGAGATATTAACTCACATGGGAAGAGAGAGAGATGTGGATGAATTGGAATCTCTATGGCTATGTCTACACTACGCACCTTTTGGTGACACAGTAGTGCTGCTAAAAGGCACACAGTGTAGCCACTGTTTGTCAGCAGGAGAGAGCTCTCCCGCCAACAAAAAACTTCCACCCCCAAAGAGAGGCTGTAGCTTTGTCGGCAGGAGAGCTCTCCTGCCAACAAAGCACTGTTCACACCAGCCCTTTTCGACAGCAAAACTTTTGTTGTTCGGGGGGAGGGGGAGTTTCCACACCTCTGAACGACAAAATTGTTCAGGTTCCAGTGTAGACAAAGCCTATATCTAAGTAGGGAACTTTCTCCCTAATTTTTTCACTTGTCTTCTCACGCTATGGTGGTCAGCTGTTTCCCCTATAGAGGCCCCAGTCATGAAATGAGCTTTGTATGGGCAGGAGCTATGATTTCACTCTGCTCACACCTCCCCATTGGATTGCTCTCTCCCTTAGTTGCAGTGTTTCCAGCTGTTTTGATCACAAGTTTCAGGATATTTTAAAGCCCCAACTCCTGGAGTCATGTGATCATGCAAGACTCTCAGCTTCCATTTCCTTTTCCAAAGTAAATTAATTGCTGGCTCTCCTCTGGGTAGAAAGGAAAGCTGGAAAATGCGAAGCCTGAAGGCTCAAACCCCAGAGGGCAGACACAGAGCACCGAACATTTATTATTTTGAAAAATCGGATGGTTTTAAAGCCCAGCTCATGATCTTTTCATCCTTGGGCCATCACTGTAGGGGACTTTCCTCTTCTCTCCAGGCCACCCCAGTTATCACTCCCTTGCTCCCCCTGCAGGTTCCCGCCTTCCCGCTGCGCATCATGTGACCGCACCAGACAAGCCAGGGGAGGTAGGAGCGGCGCGGAGGCGGCGTAGCCAGACGCCCAGGCTGGGCTGGAAGATGGGGAGCCTGGAGGCTGCCAGGCGGGAACCTCAGCGTCACGCGCTTGCTACAGGGCTACAGTGAGCGCTGTGTGCCGGCAGGGGGCGCCCTCCGCTCTCCTCTCTCTCCGCCCTACCCCGCCCGCCGGTTTGATTTGAGCGCAGGCGCACTCGTCCCTTCTCGTGACCTCCTCCCTCCCAGCAACCCCCGCAATGAACTGCCCGTATCTCCCTGCTTCTGCACACTCTCCCAAAGCAGTCGGTTTCCGGAGGTCAACAGCAGCGTCAGTTGCCTGGGTCCCAGCCCGGCGCGCATGTGAAACAGCGCCTGCGCGAAAGGGATGGGAGGAGGGCGTTCTCTCGCGCATGTGCACGAGGAACGGAAGGGCGGGACAGGGGGAGCGCGGCTCGAGTTCCCTGCCGCCCACACCCGAGCGCGCGCATGATGGCGGGGGCGCGCGCCGCCGCCGATCTTAACGGACGTTGAGGGAGGAGGTGAGAACGAACGCGCGCGCGACCGCCTCCGTCCGCGGCCCGGGTTTGTCCGGATCCTTCCCCGCGGGCGCTGAGGCTGAAGAGGAATCGGCAGCCGGAGGTTTGTCCGGGCAAATGGCGGGGAGGGGGACGCGGCTGCGTTTGCCCCCCTCCCCCTATCCCGGGAGGGAAGGAGAAAGGAGGCTGCGGACCTGCCGCCGCGCAGCATCGAGCCCCCCCCCCCTCCCCTCGGGCCGCGTCCGCTCCGCCGCGGCCTGTGCAGTGCGAGCGGCTCCTGGGTGCCGGGGAGTAACCCGCGGGCTCTGCCCAGGGCCCTCCCGTCTCCCTTCCCGGGCCCTCTGGCGATGCTCCCCGCGCCGCTGCCGTGTCGGCTCTGTGCGGCCTGTGGCTGGATGCGGCCCCCGGGAGTCTCGGTGTGTCCCCGCCCGGCACTGCGGCTGCGAGGGGACGGAACAGTCCGGCAATAACAGCAGCCAGCTCGGGGGAGACAGGGGCCGCCCCCTCCCGTCCGCCCGGCTCCCAGCGCGGCGGGCCCCGGGGGGCGGAGTGTGTGTCGGGCCTTCGTGTGTCTTCCCCTTCTTCTGCCGCCGCTGCGTCCAGAGACAGGACCGGCCCCTCGGCGGATCCTTGCCATTAGCGGGCCAGATGTAGGTTCACGACGGATGGGCTCCGCGGTGCCTGCGGAACCCCCCAGCGTCGCAGTGGGCCGGGCGTAGCAGGGGGCCCTGCACTTGATGCCCATTGTCCGGAGCGGGTGGGGAGGATGTGAAACTAGAGCCTCTTGGCTGTAAAGTTGTGATAGGAGCCTTTGAGGCGAAGGGCGCTTGGAGGTAATGGCGCTGCTTTCTTGTCCAAACGATCCTGGAGTCGGCATTACATCGAAAGGCATCAATGTACAGTGCTGCTGCTTGCGGTGACTTCTAGCCTCCGTCAGTGCTCAAGTGTAGGATAACTTGAGGGATTACTAGTAGTTTTCAGCTTTAACTGGGCTTCTATTGATTGCTGTTTAATATAACATACTGCTTCCTTTTCTGATGTGGCTACACAGCTTAAACATACAATATGCCTAGCACAAGATGTAGACTAGTTTTGATGTTTTCCATCATGTGCAAATTATTTCCCCATCTTAAGCATTTGGCTTTTGAGTTTTCCCTTAGCAGACAGAAAATGATTGGACACATACACGAACTGCTTTTGAAAAAAATGAAACTTGGTTATGATTTATAACAATATCTGTTTCTCTAATTCTTATATTTGTATAAGGTGAGCTGCAAAGCCAAACAAAAGTTGACTTTTTTTTTTTGCTGCTTTGTGATCTAATGAAAGCCCAAAAGATTTATTTTTAAAATTTCCATTGGTCTCTTAACTTCAGAAATGTACTTGGGAAGACTCGACTGGAGAGCAAGTAGGGTTATTCCTATTCAAACTACATTAAGGCTGAGAGGATATGAGGGTAAAGATCCTTACAAGAATGTTGTAGTTAAGCAGTTAGATCATCATTAAAAAGTCAGGAAATTTATACTGAATGTTAATTATCAAGAAACAAGCATTTGAAAATTCCATATTAAGTATTATAATTACCTTATCTCTGCAAGTCATATAACCTGATCTGGTTATAGAAGGCATGCTTATGGAGACACTTTAGTTCTTGTCTAATCATACTTGGATAATTGTTCGGTTCATGGATCCACAAGGCCCAATTTTGCAAGATGCGGAGTACTACCCTCAGTACCTTACAAGATTGGGCCACTAAACAAATAGCAAACTCCACTCTGCTAAGATGAGTTTTTTAATTTGGGCTGTATGACCGTGAAGAAGACCTGAGTTGGTGCAGTTGCTGTTAAATTATTTTAGCTCTTACAATCTGAGGTCATTTGTGGGGAGGGTAAGATACAGTTTTCAATCTTCTTACTTTTCCAGGACATCACTGAGGGCAAAGTTTAATGTAATCTTAATGAATTTCTGTACTCAGATGTTTGGATTTCTTGTCTCACCACCATACTGTTTCAGACAGTTCCGGAAGTTAAGATCTATGATGGAGTTTCTGGAATTGAAAACTTCATCTAGCCAAGAAGAGACTGGCTGTTAATATCCTAGAGCTTGAGGAAAGAGAAATTCATTTTCCCCATTAAAGATGGGCTGCCAGATCTGACTGAGGACATCCCTGACTCTGTGGTGTTCAGCAGTCTGTGAAATAAGTCCCTAGGCAGGTTGGATCTAGCCATGGATAAGAATGCTAAGAAGATTCACTTTTGGAGGTAGAAAGTCTCCTCTTGATGTAGTCTCTGTGGCCAGTCGCCAAGCTGTCAGTTTTCTCCTGTTTTCATGTTTGTGAAGATATATTTTTCTCTAGTAAACCTCCTCCAGGAGGAGAAGAAAAAGACAGTGAAGAAACTGGCAACCGCTGTGTAATGTCCAAGTATGTCTTAAGAGTGGTGTGTATAATATTTCAGATATTCTGGCTCTCATGACGTCTCAAAGTCCAATATTAGGTCTTTGGAACTCCATGTCCTCCTCCTTCAGTATCAGAATCTACCTAGTGTCTTCAGGTTTCAGGACTCAGTTCTACAAGAACTGATGCCATGGCAGCATCAGAACTGGCAGAGGAAAACATCTAAGAAATGGAACTGCTTCATCAATCACCTATTTATTTTTCAGTGGTGAGGCTGCATGTTTGACATGTTGCCCAAGAGTCCAGAGCTAGTTCTAACTTCTGCTTCTATGTTCCACTTTTTGTCGTGGAGATTCCTTGGGATGGTTGATTAATTTAAATGATCCATTTTAATCTTATTTAGCATTTGCATTTTTCAGGTATTTTCCTTGAGAGGTTCATTCTTATTGGTTGGTATAACTATATTAAAGCATGTTGATTTGCAACTAAATATAGCTTTTATACCAAATTTGGTGGTACTTTGTGTACTAGGAGGATACAGTATCTATACAGGCTTATTTAAGCAGTTATGTAGCTCAGCATTCCTTCACATAACTCTTAAATTTTGTTAGAAGATGGCAAATGACATACTTATTTACTAGATTTTTTTTGCTTATTTGTGAGCTGCATTTGGATGAAAATTGGAATTCTATTAAAAATGGAAAACTGAAATTTATTTTAATTATCTCATTTGTGCTGGATAATAAGAAAAACTAAGCTGATCAAAACACATTTTGCTTTTAAAACTAATTTATTAAGCAGAAGAGGAGGTATTCATTGTAGTTAGTGAATTGACTGTTCCTGGTCACCCTGGACCAGATTTTCAAAGGTGTCTAAAGATATGGATAAGTGCTTTTGAGAAATCACCTATGCGTATGTTTAAGGCACCTAGAATACCTTTAAAAATCTGGCTCTCCATGTTTTTCAAGTTATTAGAATTAGTAGATCTCATCCTCTCCCACCTGGTTTTTATTCATACATTAGAAGAGGGAAAACAAGCTTTCCTGTTCTTTCAACTCCCAATCTATTACTCAACTTTAACTGAACTTGTCCAAACAAAGAAAATATTTTCTCTGCACCTGCTACCTAAACTGAAACCAAAAGTAATAAATTCAAATTTTTTCTGTTCAGCACAGCACTTGGTCCATTATAAAGATTGAAAATAACACACTTACTGCCATCCATAACAGTGTGACGTGTTTATATAACTTGAGTTGATCACCAAAAGTTAAATATCTTCCCCTGGTTCTGGATATAATTAAAAAAGCAGTACCCTTTAACTCATTAAAGTTTGAGAGGTCATTGATGCAACCTGTCTTTAATTTAAATGATTTTTAATAAATTAAGTCTTAACATAGATTGTCATAACTTCAAAGTTAAGCAGTTTTTAAAAGAAAAGTGTATTAGATTTTTTAAATTAAAAAATAACTTATTTTTAATACATCCTGTCACTTGGTTGGTTTTGTTGCAGCTTGATGTGGTACTGCTGTGGATCAGTGGATAACTGAGATAATTCTGCTTGAATATGCTATCTAGTCCACTCCAGCCTCTCAACTCTTCCCCACCAGTGCCTCTTTAGGTATTCCTGTCATGAGACCACAGAGACACAGACCAGAAAAAGACTCCTCATTAAAGGAGTTGGGCCATTCAGGTGTCCCAGTTGGACATAGGGGATAAACTTATTCATTGTCCTTCTACTGAAAAAGATTTTTTGTCCCATTGTCTCTCCAAAATCAGAGCAGCTTTTTCAGAAAGGTCAAGTTCCACATATTGTAATGCTAGCTTCCATCATCCATACCCTTTTCCCGTTCAAACTTAAGATATCTATTTCTATATAGCTATTGGAAAAAATTATGGAAAATACTTTTTTTCCTAGGAATGTCCACTATCAGTCTTTTTGATCTTAGTTACACCAAGCGTATCAGGTGTGGCTGCTTTACCTCTAAAGGCCTTCATGCATAGGGAGGCAGTGTAGCCTAGTGAATAGAGCACTGGACTGGAACTCAGGAGACCTCTGCCACTGGCTTGCTGGATGATCTTGAGCAAGGCGCTGCATCACTCTTCCTCAGTTTCCCCATCTGTAAAATAGGGATAATGATACTGTGCCAGATTGAGAGCTACTATATTATTAGATGACTGGCCATGAGATGTTAATCAATAAACATGATGCTCATGCGTGTCCTGACTTACGTAAAGCATCTTCTTTACATATGCTATCCTGGTTTTCCCATGGTCTTGGGCACTTTCTTGAAATTCATGGACTGTTAATGAGTTGTCCTCCCGAAGAAGAATTCTAAGCTTGTGTGATCCCACCAGAGGATAGTGGGACTCCTGGCCTCTTCCACAAATATAACATTTTATGCACATCTGAGTGAAACTGCCAACATTGGCAGTAAAATTCAGTCCAGATGTGGACAACATGAGGGCTGAGTACTTCAGAGATTCTCATTGCCCTTTGGAAGTAACTCCCACACAGTGTTGAAGGGAGTTAATTTCAGACTGACCATCTGCTCTAAACCGGGGAGCCCAACTCTGATCTGATATTTCATAGGTGGTTCACAGTCTTCATATACATTTTCTGCAACTGACCTCTAAAGTATCTTCAGATCATTTCTGACAGTGATCAAGGTTATGTTGCTTAAGTGTTTGATAGTTTTTCTCCCAGGTTCAACTTGTCTTCTCCCGGGTTCACCGGTCTGCTGATGTATCTTCTGCCACTGCATAGGTTTGGCTTTCAATCATCCACCCTCAACTAGACCTTTCAGAAATCTTACTACTTGGCACACAAGCAGTTCTTTCATGGAACCTTAACCTAGTGATGTGAAAGTTAACAGACTTGACTTTTGAGTCCTTAAACATGATTTGTTCTGCCTGTTAAAGATATTTTAAATTAAAATATATTAGAATAGTGAGTTGTATTATTTTAATGGCTAGTTGTTTCTTTCACCACCGTCCGTGGGAATGGAAAAAGTTGTCGTCTGTTCTCATTCAGACCTATAACAGAGGTGGTACTGGAATTTCTCACCTGAATCAGACTGTTCCATCTGTCGGTGTTCTCATCAAAACTTTATTTCTTAGTCAGGGTTTTAACTAGGCTCTAGACACTAAATGTCAGTAGGGCTTTGAGTTATTTGGATAAATCTAAGGCCACGTCTACACTACAAAGTTAAGTTGACTTCATGTAAATTAGTATAGAGCCTCTGTCTTGCGTGGCCACACTATGCTTATTTTGTCAGCGGAGTGCATCCTCACTAACAGGACTTGCATTGACGCATGGAGCACTGCACTGTGGGTAGCTATCCTACAGTGCACGTAGCTGAGTGGAATTTTGGGTTGGACTTGCAATGGCACAGGTGGCTATGGGAACATGGCGTTAGCATCCCATAATGTAGTTTCTCCCTCCCTCCCTGAAAGCAATGGCAAACAAACCAAGCCTTTTTCATGCCTTTTTTCATAAACGTGGGTTACCTGCTCTGATGCCATAGCATGATAAGCATAGACCTCGATCAGCTGTACACTGTTGTTGTAAGCATTACAAACACCTTGCGCCTTATCCTGCAGTATTTACACAGCTGATTCAGGAGGCACTGCACGGAACAATGTGATGCCATGCAAGCAGCCCTGCTAGAGGACATAGAGCGGAGCAGTTCACAGTTGCTGGCAACAGTCGTGCATCACCTTGACATGGTTGAGCACCATTTCTGGTCCCAGGAAACAAGCACTGACTGGTGAGACCACATTGTTATACAGCTATGGTATGAGAAGCAATGGCTGCAGAACTCTCGAATGTGTAAGGCCCCTTTCCGGGAACTGTGTGAAGAGCTTTCCCCAGCCCTGAAACGCAGGAAGATTTTTCCAAAGGATTAGGCGGTGCATTAAGACATACTATACATTAGCTACTGGGGTAGAAGTCTCATTAGGTTGATACAGCAGTAGAGTATATTGATTTGGTATAATGTAAGCTGTGACTTGACATGAAACGCCTTTGCTTTTTGACCCAGAACCCTGCTATGCTTTTACATCTGTTGGTGACTTCCACATTTTAAGTTCACTAGAAACTTGAAAGTCTGTATCAAGTTAGCAGTTCATGTTAGTGTCTAGGAGCACAGGAAGTAGTACAGCAGTTCTTCTCTTACCCTTCTCTGTCTCCTGTCTCTCTCCCCACCCTCCTCACCCCAAACAAAAACATCACCACACCTTGCTTTGGTATTTGAGTGACACTTAAACTATAACAGCCTTAGGTACATTCACAGAAATGCATGTTAATTCCAAAGTTAGTTTCTTTGTGTTAAACTTTTAATGCTATAATCTAAAGGTATGGCTATGCTGCATGCTGCTTTCAGCAGCGTGTTGTATACGTACCCGTGTAGCTCCCCTCCCCGTCCATCCTCTCCCCAGTATGGTTGTAAATAGCAGTGAAGAGCATAAGACATGATTTAGGGGAGTAAAGACATGCCTGAAGGGTGTGGGTATGTATTTGAGTATGTACCCTGTATGTGTGTGTACTTCTCCAAGTCATATCTCCTCATAATAGCAGTATAGTGTCCTACTGCCAGAGCCTTTCCCCCACCGGATCTGCCAACTCCCTGCTGCTGGAGCCTCTCCCCATAGCAGGGAAGACTCGGGCAGCAAAAAAAGGCCCAGCCTTTCCCAGCTCCCTCAAATCCTCCCCTCTCCCCCCCCCAGCCTTTCCTGGCAGCAGTGAAAGGCTCCAGCATTGGGGAACTGAGGAAATCTTTCCCTGCTGCCTATCCTTTACCAGAGCCTTTCACTGACATGTAACTGCCACCAGTGGTGTATAGTGTAAACATAGCCTCAGTGTGTTACTTTTTCCAGTTATGTATCACTCATTATCAAGGTGTTACTTACAAGCAGGTACTTGAATAATTTTTCCAGCACCTAATAGCTCAAAGACTGCGTCTGCTTGCCAGAGTAAAAATCCTATGCCACCATGTCTCCTCTGGTTGTGTATTGTCTGTTGTGTCTGAAATTTAAATTTCAAACACTTTTTTGACAATCCGCTCTTTATGCAAAATAAATTACCGTGCTTTTCTTATACCTCCTTTTCCTTTCTGGCTTCCTTCCACTTCTGTTTTCATATAAAAGTTCATATCAATCCAAGTAAAGATGCACTATGCATGTTTACTCTTTCCTTTCTCTCCTCTCACCCCTTCTGTCTTTCCTATACTACAGTTTACCATTTCCTTCTCATTTCTTGTAAAATGTTTGGAAAATGGAAAATTTCCAATATTTTCCCCTAGTTTTTGTTTGAAATACATCTCTATGTCGATATAACGCTGTCCTTGAGAGCCAAAAAATCTTACCGCGTTATAGCGAACTTGCTTTGATCCGCTGGAGTGCGCAGTCCCGTCCCCCCAGAGCACTGCTTTACCGCATTATATCTGAATTCATGTTGTATCAGGTCGCATTATGAGATGTATTTGTTTGAAGTCTTTGAAACTTTTTGTCTAGCTATATTTTTTACTTTCACTGCTCCCCAAATCTTTGTTTCTTATTTTTGTCTTAACCCATCAACTTCTTGTCTGTACATATGTTTCACTTGTTCAACATGGGTAAATTTATTAAATCAGATTTTATATTTACATTGCTAGTTTTTTACTGTCTTTTTATTTTATAGTTTTACAGTGGATGTCTTATATGGCTGTCTTTAGTTTCCTAATTTATAAGTAGACTCTCAGATAACTTTCTAAAATTTCAGGCTTAAATGCTCATCTCTGAGAGAGAGAAATTCAGACCCTCATTAAAATTCTTACTGTGAAAACAATACAAACACAAAATTGAGGATTAGCAAATAGATCTATGTTTGCAGCCGACACCACCTGTGTGTATATTGAACATCAAAACATCAAGAAAGCTGAAATGCTTCAACCAGGCTATTTTCCATCAGAGTTTGCAGTTTCAAGTCAATGGGCCTCGTGCTCCTAAGTCCATTAGATATTTTTGAAAATCTCTCCCCCCTCCCTCCCTCCCCCCCATGCCTAAACATGTGCTTGGGGGGCTTAAAATTTGGCTCCTGATTTTGGCGTATGTATATAAAGTTCATGACCTAGGTTACTGAAAATCTAAATTTTTACTCTTAATGCTGAAGCACTTCTTTTTGAAGTGATGAAGACTTTATGGTATCAAAAATCAGTAAAAATACAATTTTAGCCCCTGATGCACCATGCTTAACTTGACATCAGTAGAACTGTTCATATCATTAAGTGTCTGCAGCATCAGGACCTTAATTCTTCATATTTTGTTTGTAGGAGTTTTGTAAGATTCAAATACAACTTACCAGTTGTGGCATTTAAAAAGCAAAACAAAAATCAACCCAGCACTTATTATGTAGTCTACTAATATGTTTGAAGCACAAATTTTCAAGTTCTGCAAAGCCTCAACCTGGTTTAAAAGAATCCAGGGTTGAGCAGTTCAAGCCACTTATTGTTTCCAGATTCCAAAACTCTGGTTTTTAACACTAACAACTTGCTGAAGGCAAGTTCTGATTGTTCACAAATAGTGATACCAACAATTGTCACTTAAGCAAGGTGGATTGATTTAAATCAAAGCAATTTTAAAATTTATGGTTTAAGTGAGCAAGCTGAAAATCTGTTTAAACAAAGTAAGTGTTATCTGTAGTTAGTGAATTGAACCATGTCCTTCACGATTTTAAAGTATAAAGTAGTAGATCTCATCCTTTCACACCGAGTTTTTATTTATAAGCTGTAAGAGGAAAACAAGCTTTCTTGCTTTTTCATTCAAAGTTAAGAAATCAATTGGGAATTAAACTAGTCATTGACCTGAACTAGTTGAATAAATATTCACTCTGCATCTGCAGAGGAGACGCTACTGCTGTCAAAAACTAGTTTAGCACTTCAACTAACTTTGGTTGCAGGGATTAGTCAGTGACTTCCACGAGTTTAGTGGTTTGACTTTGTATAGCTTAGTTTTTTGTAATGACCATCACCATAGCATTTGAGCAGCTGGCTATGTATACAAACTTTTTAAGCCCAGATCTGAAAATTATAGCACTTAATGTAGTGACAAAGCATCATCTTGGTATTGGAGATGCATATATTCAACCAGTGCTTTTCATTTTCAGTATTCTACCTGAAAACTGTACACATCTTCTACAATTTTAAGATTATAAGGGATTTGGAAGGCTGATACTAAGGGTATTTAGGTGACCTTAATGATACAATTACATTCTTTATGTGAAATGAAGTCTTAACTTAGTATTTCCAGGCTCTTTAATATGAGAAGTTCTTGTGAATAATAGCATTCTTATGACTTCTTAACTGAAATGATTCTTCCAACCTTAATTTGAATTTTTTCCCCCTGAGATACCTTTAAGAAACTTTTGCCTTGAACCGCTCTTTAAAACTTTTTTCTTCATATAGTGAGACACTTCTTGAAATCTAGCAAGATAAGTCAAGTGTAAAGTTAGGTGAAGCCATTTTGGAGATATGTAGTGACCCAAACAAAAATTAGAAAAAAATAAGAAAATATATTTTAACCCCATGTCCCAAGTTCCACTTGTCCTATAGTAGAATTTTTTTCTGAAAAGATTAGATCTGGCATGCAAAATAGATAGACAGGTGTGGTTTTGTTGAAGGTTGGGTGGGATATGGGAAATATGACTAGTAATAATAGGAAGCTAGTTTCTTAACTATGGAAAGGCATCTCTAATGTTAAAATATTGATACGTTATTTTGAAGCACGTAATGCAGACAAAAGAATTTTGTTAATGCTGGGATGGAATACAAATCCTAAATTTATAGATGGTAGCTATCTTTACTATTCGCTGGAGTAAATAAAGGAGTTCCTACCACTAAAAAAAAAGTAAGGTACTTCTGAGAGAGGAATACAGTCATAAATATGCAATGTTGCCAAGTGAACCTTAACTTTGTCGTCCGACTTTGATTTTCACTTCTCAGCTGTAGAGTTGTATTGATGTAAAATTTATTTTTTTCTGTTCTATTTCATAGATCTAGGATCCTTAACTTGAAGAAAAATCATGTATAAACTGTTCTGCCTTTCTCTCTTTATTTTTAACCTTTAGATATTTTTGCACTTGTTTCAGTATCTTTCTAGAAATGTGTGTGATGTTTAAAATTGTATTTCAGATAATGTGTACTCAAGACAACCATTTTAGGCAGGAGAACTGTGAAAGAAGAAATTGTGCTTTTAAAAGGTACTAATTTGTGAACCAATTTTATTTTCTTGCTTGCAGCCACTGATCATGAGATGTTTCCACGAAATCTACCTCAGACCTCACTTTTGCTCATTAATGTGCTGCGCCATTTCAAATCTCAGCAGGAACTCTGCAAACACTCTTGAAAAAGTCTCGAGAGAACAGATTGTGACACCAAATCAATGCGTGATGACCTAGTAGTAGGTTGAAGTCTGAAACATTCTTGATGCAGCAGTCCAAGATAACACTGCCTAATGTATCGATATAATTTCTAAAGGCTACAAACAGCTCCTGCAGTTTCTTCTTGTTACGCCAGAAACATTCATTTGACCTTTCTCCTGCAGAAAGATCCTTGCCTCTCTAATCTAGTCCTGGAAATATTAATGGAATACAGTCATGTCTACTCAGGATGAAAGGCAGATCAATGCCGAATATGCTGTATCCTTGCTGGAGCAGTTAAAATTGTTCTATGAACAGCAATTGCTAACTGACATAGTGTTGATTGTTGAGGGCACTGAATTCCCCTGCCATAAGATGGTTCTTGCAACATGCAGCTCTTATTTCAGGTAAGTGTTCAAATCATGATTCATTCATTCAGGTAAAGATATATTGTACTGTTTTGTAAGCAATGCTAGACGTACATAGTTAAAAATGAATGTACAGCCCAACAATTTAAAGATTTAGTGCTGGAAATCTGAAGTGAATAGTATAGCTCTTAAATATTTCAAGTAATAGTAACATTGAAAGGTCAAAGTAGGGTTTTCTAGCATTTTATGACTTATTCCAGCCAAAGACACTGCATCGCCATCCAGCATTTGGAGAAAGGAAATCATTTTTTATGATCAACAGCCCCATTCTGGGGTTAGTTCAGGCTGTGTAATGCAGTTCATTTCCTGTCTCCAGCATGTGGAACAGCTTTTTCCAGATAAGCAAGACATTTACTATATGTTGTCCTTTCTGTTGACATGGTTCTAAAATAGGCTCAGGTGAGTAGGGATTCTCTACTGAGAGGAAACAGTCCCCATATCACCTCCCCCAACATGCTCCTTGTTCTCTTTGCTCCTTGAACAAGTGTCTTCTGCTCCTTTTAAATGCAGAGATTTCTTAGGAATCTTACAACTTCATGTTTTGAGCTGGATAATAAAAATAGGCACTGCAGAAGCCAGAACCTTTGCTTTGGGTTTCATCCCCACCAGGATGGAGGATTAAGCATTGTTTTAATCCTGAGATTCTTACTGTGCCAGTGCTATCCAAATCTTTACTGTGGTGCTAGTGAACTTTTAAATCCACTAGGTCCTGTTGTGTTTACCCTCTTAAAAGGGGTTTCTCTTAGGTGCATTTGTTAGTTCTCATACTATCTTTGTGGATTTCTCCATGCCTAGTTTTAGAAAACTAATCTATACTGGGGTTTTGGAGCAGGGCTTAGTCATGCACGTTGATGCCACTGAAACATTTTTCTGCCTGTCTGGCCCTGGAAGTGAAAGCCTTGAAACTAGAGTCTGGAACTGATTGATAAGTTAGTAATGACCTTGAATCTTCTGTATCACTGGTTCCCAACATGGGGGTCACAAGCATCCTTCCTTTCTTTATAGCTAGCTAGAATTGGGTTTCCCCAAAAACCCACTGTTCTATACATTTGGAACTTGAGGCAAAGATGGCAGTGATCTCTGAAGATGTGCTTCTGGAGTATTCTATAGCGTAGGGGTTCTCATAACAAAATTTTTGGTGGCCTTAATGTGCGGCTACCAACTCTTGCTGGTGGCCGGCCTGACAACTCTCTCTCTGTCACTGCCTCCCATGGCCCTTCATGAGAGCCTGCCCTGGGGGTCGGGAACTTACCAGCCGCCTGCGAAGTCCCAAGTTCCCCATGCCCTGGCCAGTCGGGAGCAGGGGAGCTGCCCAGGGGAATGTCTTGGCAACTGAATGCCGCAACTGCCTCCACTGACGAGCTGCCTCCTGTGCCACGCACACTGGTCCCACATGTCTCCAGAGGAGCTGTCCAGAGCCCCCAGTGTAAACACCAAGGCAGCCCATTTCACTGCCCTTGGTAACAACTATTCAGGCACAACAGCTGGGCACTGCAGGAAGGAGCTGCTGCTTTGCTCCTTGTGATCTCTGCCTATGCTTTGGAGGCTGTCATGGCCACAACAAAATCTGCTGGTGACTGCTTCCCTCTCTTTGTGGGAGTCAGAGGCAGTCTTGGTGAGTTGTGAAGTGTTTGGCTCTCTCTCATACGCAGCCTGACATGGTTTTATCTTAGCTTATATTTCCTAACAAAATGGGAATATCAGATCCCAAACTACTCTAAAGGAGTGTCTTCCACTTCTTCCCCAATCCCTATTACTCAGCTAGCTGATTTATGAAGGGGGAAAAGAGGTTTTTTGTCCACTGGAATAAAGTACAGTGATATTTTTCTAAGTGATTAGGAAACAGACCCTAGTCTTGAAATTAAGATTGTCTTGAATAAAACCGCCTCTAGCCTGAAAAACAAGCTTATTATCCACAGTGAAAATTACTGGTTTCAAGGGAAATGTCTTAAGGAGGCACAACAATTTTAAGGGGGTAAAATATATGTACATTTTATCTATTTTATAAATATTTTTAAATGCAATATGCCACCAATCTTGTCTTTCATATGTCTGCCTTTTTCCTGCATTGTCTTCTACGTCCTCCCATTGTTTACTTGTACCCCTTTAACTTCTAGATCAACTGTTTTACACCTGCAGAATATAATGCGTTTTGTTTTGTAACTTCTGATCTTTCCTTTCCTTGAGAGCTGTTCAGTCACATGCAGGATTCAAAAAGCTTAGTTACCTAAAAGGACTAAATTTACTATCCAAAAATTGATGGGGAATCTGCATATGAGAGATCTTTTTTTCTCTTTCTCATAGTGAAGTTGCTGGAAAAGGAAATTATAACAAGGTGCTGTCCTCGAGACTTCTCATGGACTCAGTTTCTGGTTGTTTAGATACTTAAATCCCAAGAATCTCTCTGGCTTCTGAAAGATTGGGGGTTCAGTGGGGGGCTCATCACACCCCACCCATTGCCTGCTATTAGTGGAGGAGGAAAGGCAGATTTTTGATTTGCAGATTTAGGACTACCGTACTGGTAGTCCTAAATCAGTATATTTGAAAATGTAGGAAATATCCAACAATATTTAAAAAAAATTAATAGTGTAATTAATCACATTGTTAAACAATAATAGAATATCGTTTATTTAATCGCTTGACAGCCTTACTAACAATGCTTCTGTCTGTTTTCAAATGGTATTTGTAACTGGCTCCAGAGTCCCAGCAATTCTAGAAATAACAAGCCATTAAATTTGGTCAGACACAAATTGTGGATGGCTAGTAATCACAAGATGCCAGTGTTGGAAACTATGAAAGCCCACAAAATATTAGATTAGAATATGCCATCAGACCTCTTTCTAAGATGTGGTTGGTTTGTATATTAGAATGGGAAGTTGGACATTGGGTATGGAAGGGGTGTCACATTTTGTGGTGGTGTCACTCTTTCCCTATTTTCTTCTTCTTGGCTTTCATTTTAAATAGTCTCTTAAATCAAATCTTTGTAATGCAAAGATAAGGTTGATCTAAATATTAAAGACAAGAAATAGTCACATATTCAAGTTTTCAATACTACCCTTAATGCTAAACTGTGCATAAGCAAAATTTATACACTTTTGTTGTAAATACTGATTTAATAAAAGAACTCTTAAGTTCTTGTCTCATCAGCTGCCAGTGCATACAATAACAAAGCATAGTACTTGTGGTGCTTACAACACTTGTCAGAATTAAATTAGGCAAGTAATGTAAGTGGTATGTATTATATATGTAAAGAAAGATACAAAATCATCCTCTTTTGTGATTGTATTTCACTTTTTTAAAACTTTAAAGCTGACCTTCCAGCCTTAGGGAAGGGACTTATGCAGTTATTGATTTCTGCGGGGGGGAAATGGCAGAAAAAATGTATGCCAGTCTTCCAAATCTGAAGAGTTCACTGTATTTAACAAATGGTAAAGACTTACATGGAAGGCAATTATACCCTTCTATCAACCCAAGCACCCTCTGTGCCCCTGACCTAACGTAAGTTCTTATGTATCCTACATAAGATGCAAAAGGTAGAGCCATATGAGTTTCTTTAAAAAAACAAAATCAGAACCACATGTATTTTTCAGGAAGCATTTTCTGCATTTGTTTCTAGCAACTTCTGCTGGAGAACGCGTCTGTCCTTGTTGTAAGATGACAGTGTAAAATATTTCTCCATTTTTCTGGCCAAGTATGCAACCATGTCACGTCAGTCCCTGCTTATGGTTTAAAATGTACTCCTGGGGGAATTCTGCACTACTGCGCATGTACATAATTAATGAGCCAGGCATATTTTTAATTTTTTTGCGGCGAAAAAAAGCTTCTGCTGAAATGTTGCTGCTGTTCACCCTTTTGCCCACCAGAGGGTGCTGTGGCAATAGAACACAGCAGCAGCTCCTGGCCAGCTAGGAAAGAGAGAGAGCCTGCCTGCCTTCCCAGTGCCTGTCAGGCCATGGGCTATGGAGAGAGCGTGGGATGGCGGGGGGGGGGAGGGGGGGAGAGGTGTCAGTCAGGGGCTCATAAGGGCTAGTGGAGGAGGACAGACTAGGTCAGTGGCTGAATGGGAGTGGAGGCACGGGGGAGGGAAGTGCCAGGCCACATGGTGATGGGGGAGGGGGTGCAGAGCTACATAGGGATGGGTGGTGGCTGAGTGGGGGACCAGAGACATGGGGAGGGGATAAGAGCCACATAGGGACAGGGGAGTGGCTGGGTGGGGTCACAGAGACACATGGGAACGGGGGAGGGGGAATGAAGGGCCAAATGGGGATGGAGGGAGTAGGTGTCTGAGTGCGGATGGAGAGACACGTGGATGGGGGTGCAGGAACACATGGGGACAGGGGCAGATGTGCTTGACTGAATGGGAGAGGCTAGGAGTTAGCCAGGGTTTGCAGGGGAAGCTCCTCAACAATCCCTCCCCGCCCCCTCAAAAAAATCTGTTCCATGCTTTTCCTGCCGACACCCAACAATCCTCCAAGTTCATACCCAGGCTCCTTCCCAGCAATTTACTTCCTTCTCCCTCAGCTCCTCCCTTACTCCCTCAAGCCTTTGCACTGCTTCTGAGGGGTGGGGAAAACATGGTTCTGTATTGTAGTTTAAATGAATTATTACTTAGAGTTCTGTATAAATATGCCTAGTAAGAAATCTATTTATCAAAAAACATTTTGAAATGACCAAAAATAATTGAAACTGATGTGATTCTATTACTGTTTTGACAAAATATAAATTTTGCAGAATTTTTTGGATGCAGAATTCCCCCAGGAGTAAAAATGGGGTGGTAGCTTACATAAATATTGAGTACTATGTTTTCATGTATAGAGAACACTGAAGTTACTAATATAATTGGAAAAACTTTGTTAAAACGTTTATGTTAAATGCTGTGTGATCTAAGGTAAGTACTACATGAATGTAAATGGAAAATCACATTAGGAATTTTTAAAGTTAAATGAAATGACAAATGTTTAGGTGTCTTTCTCTTTTGTGGTTGGAGTGGCTAAATAACCAAAAGCAGTTACTTAAGATTACAGTATGTGTCCTTGTCAGTCTTAATGTAGTATTTTTCTCTTCAGGGCCATGTTCATGAGTGGGCTAAGTGAAAGTAAACAAACACATGTACATCTGAGGAATGTGGATGCAGCCACTTTACAAATTATAATAACTTATGCATACACGGGTAACTTGGCAATAAGTGACAGCACGGTAGAACAGCTTTATGAGACTGCTTGCTTCTTACAGGTAGGAACATCATGTATATTTTGAGTAAAAATGCATGATAACTGCTCAATCTCTGTACCAAAATATCTGGTTCTAATTTTTTCCTTAAATTTCAATTACATACCCATTTCTGTCTCCATTTTTAAAAAAGATGATAGTAATTTTAAAAATTACTGTTTGTTCATATTAGTGTGGACAGCCATTACCAGAATAATCCCACAGCCAATTGATTTCTGAAGGAGTGGAATTTAAACACAATTTCTATCACTTTATTTTGTAAGAAGCTAAGTAAAATGCACAAACAGGTAGAGGGTTAAACAATTTGCATGTCAGGTAAACATGGCAATGTTTTAAAAAATCAAATTGTGTAGTCAAATTTCATGTATCTTTCTGGGTAGAATGACATGTTCTTGGCTCAAAAACCTGCTGTGACTAGCAGTGTCAGTGCAGTATTCTTCCTTTCTTTGTATTTTTTGCATCTTGTTTATAGGTAAAGGAATAGGTCTTTGTCTACTGTACTTAAGTGGTTCTTTTTTTTTTTTTTTTGCATTACAGGTAGAAGATGTGTTACAGCGATGTCGAGAATATTTAATTAAAAAAATAAATGCAGAGAACTGTGTGCGGTTATTAAGTTTTGCTGATCTCTTCAGCTGTGAAGAGTTAAAACAAAGTGCTAAGAGAATGGTAGAGCACAAGTTCACTGCTGTGTACCACCAAGATGCTTTCATGCAACTGTCACATGATCTACTGGTAGATATTTTAAGCAGTGACAACTTAAATGTGGAAAAAGAGGAGACAGTTCGTGAAGCTGCTATGTTATGGCTGGAATACAACACAGAATCACGATCACAGTATTTGTCCTCTGTTCTTAGCCAAATCAGAATTGATGCACTTTCAGAAGTAACACAGCGAGCCTGGTTTCAAGGATTACCACCTAATGATAAATCAGTGGTAGTGCAAGGATTATACAAATCTATGCCCAAATTTTTCAAACCAAGACTTGGTATGACTAAAGAGGAGATGATGATATTCATTGAAGCTGCTGCTGAAAACCCTGGTAGTCTTTACTCTTCTGTCTGTTACAGCCCCCAGGCAGAAAAAGTTTACAAGCTTTGCAATCCCCCTGCCGACTTGCATAAGGTTGGAACACTTGTAACTCCTGATAATGATATCTATATAGCAGGTGGGCAAGTTCCTCTGAAAAACACAAAAACCAATCACAGTAAAACTAGCAAACTTCAGGCTGCCTTCAGAACTGTGAATTGCTTTTACTGGTTTGATGCACAGCAAAACACTTGGTTTCCAAAGACTCCAATGCTGTTTGTTCGTATAAAGCCATCCTTGGTCTGCTGTGAAGGATACATCTATGCAATTGGAGGAGATAGCGTAGGTGGAGAACTCAACAGAAGAACCGTGGAAAGATATGACACTGAGAAAGATGAATGGACCATGGTAAGCCCATTGCCTTGTGCGTGGCAGTGGAGTACAGCAGTAGCGGTTCATAACTGCATTTATGTAATGGCCCACAACTTGATGTACTGTTATTTTCCCAGGTCGGATGCTTGGATAGAAATGGCTATGAGACAAACTAGTAGATGCTTTGCTTCTGCTGCCGCTTTTGGTGACAAAATATTCTATATTGGAGGATTGCATATTGGCAGCAATTCTGGTATAAGACTCCCAACTAGCACTGTAGATGGGTCTTCCGTAACTGTGGAAGTCTATGATGTGAATAAAAATGAATGGAGGATGGCAGCTAATATCCCTGCCAAGCGGTATTCTGACCCTTGTGTTAGAGCTGTTGTAATCTCCAATTCTTTGTGTGTCTTCATACGAGAAACCCACATGAATGAGAGAGCCAAGTATGCCACCTACCAATATGATCTGGAGCTTGATCGGTGGTCTCTACGACAGCATATATCAGAACGTGTGCTCTGGGACTTAGGAAAAGACTTCCGATGCACTGTAGGAAAGCTGTATCCATCTTGCCTTGAAGAGTCCCCATGGAAACCTCCAACATATCTCTTTTCACCAGATGGGGCTGATGAGTTTGAGCTGGATGGGGAGATGGTTACCCTGCCACCCGTATAGCCCCCAAATTGGAGACTGCACACCTGCTTCTGGGCTCAATTACCTTGAAATAAAACTTTAATGAAAGAACAGGGCTGGAAATTGAAACATTAAACCTGTCTTTCATAATTGTATTTTTATGCCCTACTTAGCATTTGCAGTCATTCAGTGTGAATCAGTGACTTTTACAAGCAGATATGCTTCCATAATCTGAGATACTATCTGATAATTGAGAGAAACCTATATGTATATCATGAGCTTAAGCATCTGACTACTGTCTGAAGAATTAATTTCTAGTTCTATGAAGTCTTTCAGTTCAAGAAAAATCACAAAAGCAGTTATTGTTGCTAGGATGGTATGTCACAATTGTTCTGAAAATATCTTCCAGTTATATTTGAACTATTTCTGGATATTCTACTTTAGTGCTCGTTATATAATTTTCAGTGTGGCCTAAGTAATGGAATGTGCTGCACTTAACACCAATATCCGTATCGGTATAGTAATGCCATTTAAAAGAAAAATAAACAAATCCCATGGATCTACCTGTGGTAGGAAGGGTAGATCTTCCTTTGTATGGTAACATGCAGGGCAAAATGACTGCAGGTTCAGTCAAGGTGTATTAAGTGCATGTATTCTATTTTCACTAACTTATACCTGTCTGTTTAGAATACAGGTCTTCCAAGCAGCTGGTGGTTTACCAGATGTGGACTTAAATTGCTGGGCTTGCAATAGGAATTGCTAGCCACTCATAGTGCGGGTCTGTGTGGAGCTTTAATCAATAAATGCCTCCACATTCTGTATTACAGTAACATTGGCTCATGTATAATACTTCCTGCTGCTGATGTATTTTTCCAATGTAAAACAAAGTTTTAGTGTGGATTAACCAGGTCTTTATTTTTGTTAATTTAATAACAAGCATTACTGTAGTGTGATTGTTTATAGATATCCCTTAGCTATCAGGTTTTTTACTTTTTTGGGGGGGGGGAGCGAATTGTTCAGGAATATTCTGTACGCTGTGTGCAGGAGAGCAGATGACTAGTGCTGCTCTGGCATTAATCCCAGGAACCACTAGCAGTAGCGGGGCGCCGCCAATCTAACATGAACACAGGTGCTTCATGACAACCTTACTAGCATGTTCAGCTGCATCATGTTCTGGCACTGTATTTTGAATGACATTAATTTATTAAAAAAAGACTGAATCTAAATGATTTTGGTGTGCTTTGTGGTGGGAAAGAGTATAGCTATGAATTTCTCTACTTTACTTTTCAGCAGTTTGCTTGGTGATAGGAAGTTAGCTTCTTTAAGGGCTGTTAAGATAAGTTATGAGACATGCATATTTGAAAGCTGTACTTGTTCAGTGAAACTGGAAGTTCAGCTTGATGACATATTTGAGATTAGTAAATTCATGTCTACTTCCACCAAATTACCATATAATGTTTATCGAACATAAGAAGGAAAAGTGTGGAACAATCTCCATAATATGCTAAGTCAGAAATCCCACTGTCAGGGGACAGACTCCTTGATTTTCATAAGTAGAATTAGAAATAAAGGTATAAATTTCAAGAAGTAACACATGCATTCTAATAGCAACAGTTCCATTTTGGTTACATTGCCTGTGTATGTTTTTTGGTACAGTAGAGTAACTTGACTCTTCCAGCCATTCATGAAACAAGATATGCTTCTTAAAATGTTGGTGTTAAAATTCAAATTCCAGCATCTGTGGTTACAACTATCATCTTGTGGTTCAAGATCATGCTATAGAACATCTATATAAACCAGTTTCTATCCAGTATTAATGTTTGGCATTTGCACCTATATTAATATTTCAGATTGGGGGCTTAGCAATATTTACACTGTCCCTTTGATTTTCTTTTGCTGTTAGTTTAACCTTATCCCCCATGAACCAGATACTTCAAACTTAATGAGCAGCTTCCAAGTACCAAACCAGCATGGACTACAGGAAATTATAGCTTGTTTGCAAAACATTATCATGTGGGAAAACATAACTATGAAGTTCTTGTCCTAAATACTGTGGCCAAATACGTAACTACCATACCACTTACTATAGATAGAGGTGATGGTGATAGCTCTGTAGTTCAGGTTGCACTGAGATTTTTACTTAAAGTAGGGATTTGAATAACACTGCTCTACAGCCAAAATGCTTCTGAAATAAATGTAGTCAAACTTTACTAA